CTACACTGTAACCTCAATATAATGAACACCGTTATAATGAAATTCCTGATATAATGAACACATAGCATGTCTCCCGCTCACAACAAACCCAATGTATTATGTACTTCATTATTATGTACTTCATTTCACTATAACAAACTAATTGTATGTCCCCCAAAGAGTTCGTTATAGCGAGGCTACAGTGTACATCGAGCGACGTCGATTGGCAGTTTGAAAAGTTTCTGAAAAGCTGAAAATATTGTTTTACGGAGGTGAATGGCAATATATTTTGGATAATTATGAATTTTGTTTATTGTGTTCATTCCATGCAAGCCGTCAATATGGCACTTATATAATAAATTATTTCTGCAGTTGTGATAGTTTTGTGCACACAAGTCATTTTAAAATTTTGACACAGGTTACAATTTGGGTTCACGGTATCATTCGTTGATCTGTACAATCTATTAAATATTGATTATTCATCTTACCCAGTAATCAGTAATTTTCGCTTAACGCTCTGTATCCCTGTAGACGATTCAACAATTTGCGAAATGCCGATTCGTCCAGGTGGAAAAAGCAGTGAAACAGAGTCTATAAAACTTCCTCGAACGAGGTTGAACTCAATTAAACTCATTTCCAAGTTGATATCTACGAGAATAACCGGATCAAATGTATCAATACGAACGACGCCCTCTTCGGATGTAACTGTGGTTCGCCTACAATAGAAACATACATTATAGCAATTTGTGTACTGCATCCATTGGCACATTTGTCAATGCAGTGCACAATGTAATGATCTATTGTGAGAACACACAATATACAAGATTATATAAAATGAAATGAGATTAGATAAGATTGGACAAAGTGAAATGAAATGAGATAATATCAGATGAAACAAGATAAGATTGATTGAGACGCAATAGGATCAAATGAAATTAGATGAGATGAGACAAGATAAGGTTAGGTAAGGTGAGATAAGATAAAATAAGATGAGATGAGATGATATAGGACAAGGCAAGATGAAATATGAGAAGATGAGATGAGAGAAGAACAAATAACTGAAGACAAGATGAATCAAGAGGAGATAAGACAAGATAAGATAAGACAAGATACGACTAGATGAATTGTGATGTGACGAGATGAGATAAGATTAGATGAAATGAGATGAGACAAGATAAGATTAGAAAAGATGAGATGAGATGAGATAAGTGAAATGAAATAAGATGAAATGAAACACGGTAAGATAAGACCAGATGCATTGCGATGTGGCAGGATAAGATGAGATGTGTTCATGCAAAATCGGTAATGTTTATTGCTTTGTTTAGTAATTGATAGGTGATATTCAACAATGACTGTCTTTGGTATTTCTTGGCCAATATATAACTGTTAGCATAGCCAAGAATATATTCCGGGACAACATGGTCATTGTACTAAAATAGCGCCCTCCACAGTTGTAACTGCACTGAACCATCCAAGATGAAAATAAATTACCTCCGTCCTGTACAGCAATGTACAGTACATATTTAGTATACACTTGGAGCGGATCTGAACTTGTCTTTTGCAATTCACCACTCTTCAAATCTACATCAAACACATTAGACGGTTCGGCGAGAAAATAACTCAATTCAGCATTATTGTCGATATCGTCATCATACGCCGTTACCATCGCAATCGCCTCAGTCGAGATGCTGTCATAGCGAATTTCTAGCGAATAGAAGCTTGGATCAATAACTGGAGTATGGTCATTTACGTCTGAAACTGTGATCTGTCAAAAAATATACACAATGTTTTATCAGTTACAGGATTCCATATCATATAATGAATGACATACACAATGTTATAATTCCACCTAGCCACATTGTAGTGCATTCATGAATGCATTATATTTATTTATTTTATTTACACGTTTAATGATAACCCATTTACATCAAAGAAATATGAATAATTACATAAAACTCTTAAATTAATCTACCAGTGGGTCACACGTACACACACAGGTGTTATAAGAAAAACTATCTATCAAGATTCTCCTTAATAATAAATATGATATACACAATATGTCATAATTCCACATGGCTATAATAATTACTCCAGCAGAACAGTAAATCTGGATTTGCTTAACATTATTATCACACTCGAAATCGATGAATATGATTTGGATAACCAGGCAAAAAGTTCAAAGATTATAAATAAATATATCTTTATCATAAACATTTGTTTTATCAAAAGATGTTTTCAAATCCTCACAACAACTCTGGGTCAGCAATACGTTCATGCCAAATTGTAAACTATCAGCAATGGATATGATTATATCATTGGCATTTGGAAGCAATTTTACCTGGTAGACAGACTGGAACTATTGTAAAGAAGAGTGGCATGCCTATTACAAGACGCCTCATTAACTTATCAGTACACTGTCCATAGTACTGGTTAGAGCATTGATCAAACTGATACAATACATGGAAGGAATACAGAACTGTAATATTTATTGAGTTGAATAGAAATATTTTCAACTTACGTAAACGTACACACGACTGTATTTCCAGCTCGAGCCGTAATCTCTGACTGTTGCGCGTAATTCAATGTAATCCACGTCCTCGCGATCGGTGGGCACGTTCACTGTCACCACGCCAGTATCACGGTCCACAAAATAGTAGGGAATATCATTTGTCAGAAGGATGAAGTTTTTATAAAAACGCAGACGAGAATTTTCACCTAAATCTGGATCGGAAGCAGTCAGATTGAAAACTATCGTGCCAGTTTCCAAATTCTCTGGTATCGTGAACTCGTAGACGTCCTGGTCGAATGTTGGCGCATTGTCGTTAACGTCTATCAACTTCAAGGTCACCGTCACGTTGTTCTGCAGTTGTATATTACCAAGGTCGTATACCTGTACCGTGATGTTGTATTCTTCTATACTCTCTCGGTCAAGTTCAACTTTCGAAGTTATATTTGCGTTCAATTCTCCAATGTCAAAATGATCATTTTCGTTCCCATTAATTATTTGATATCTCAATTCGGAGTTGGTACCATTGTCTGTGTCATGGGCAAGAATGGTCCCCACCACAGTTCCAACCTCTATGTCTTCATTAAATTCAAAGTAGTACGAGGATTCAGAAAACACTGCGAAATTATCATTCAAGTCACGTAAAGTAATAGAAATATTTGATGAATCAGAATGCAATGCGTCCCTTGCTTCAACCACCAGGGTAAATATCGGCGTAATCTCCCGATCCAAATCCGCGATGGCAAACACTTCCCCCGTATTTGGGTTAATGAAAAACGAATCACCGATGTTCCCCCCAGTAATATAGTATGATATCTCGGCATGTTCGTATATATCGGCATCTGTGGCAGATACCGTCGTGATATATGTACCATTATCAACGTGTTCATGAATTGTAACAAAGTAGACATCTTGTGTAAACACGGGAGAGTTGTCATTGGCATCTTCAATGGTTAGATGGACAATGACGTCACAATAACGGACTGGTGAACCATTGTCATATGCTCTAATTGTCAACTCATAATAGTCATAGCTTTCTCGATCCAAATACCAATAACTCGTACTCAGGACCCCAGTCGTTGGGTCAACAGAAAAATAGAAAACATTTGGCGAACTGCTGCTAATCAAACTGTACGTAACCCTTCCATTTTCACCATCGTCAATGTCATAAGCATGTGTCGGTAGAAAAGACGTCAACGGCGAGGTAGACTCGCTAATGCCAGAATAATAGATATTTGGTTCAAATACAGGAGCGTTGTCGTTGACATCTGTGATGAAAATTTGCACAGCTGAAGGGATAGATTCAAGTCTAGGAGAACCAATATCTGTAGCAACAACATAGAAGAATAGGAGTTGTTGTTGCTCGTAGTCTACTTCTTGTTGGGTGAACAATTCACCACTGGTGATCCCAATTGTAAAATAATGGGCGTCTTCCCCATAAATGCTGAATTCTAATTCAGCGTTGACTCCTGAGTCTAAATCACTCCCAGCGATTGTCATGATGCTCACTGCAATTCCAATATCTTCACTGATGGTAGTGGTATAATAATCACTAGATAGTTGGGGTGCGTTATCATTTCTATCGAGTACAGTGACTCGTAACGTTTTTGTTCCATAAAACCCTTCAGCAAAATTGTCCTGAGCTGTGATAACCAAGTCATACACTCCTTGCCTTTCCCTGTCCAACGGAGCGCCGATTCTTACAACCCCGGATGTAGAGTCAATAAGAAACGTCTCTGGTATAACGGCATCATTGCCTCCTGTTATAGAATATACAATCATCGCATGAGTACCGATGTCGATATCAACTGCATTCGCGTCAAATACAGAGGATCCTAGGGGTACGTTTTCATATATTTCTACAGATGAGTATGCTATGTTAAAAACTGGTGCGTTGTCATTGACAGACAGGACTTCAACGTTTACTGTGGCTGTGGATGACAGGCTAGGTGAACCTGAGTCATGGGCTCGAACGAGCAATTTATAATGTGTCGACCTTTCTCTGTCTAGTCTCACACTGTTCACTCGAATGTAAGAGTTATAGATATAGAATTCATTCATTGTGTTACCGTCTACTATAACGTATTCGACATTTGCATTGGAACCAATATCGGCATCGGTTGTTGTCAATTGTACCACAACTGTTCCATAATTGACATTCTCAAGAACGCTCACTGAATACACTTCAGGGTTGAACACTGGGTAGTGGTCATTGGCATCGGTGACTATGACATAGAATGTAACATCGTCGCTGTAAATTGGTGTTTCGCCTTCGTAGTTGTCTGATGCACGAACGGTAAGAGCATATTCATCCAACGTTTCTCTGTCCAGTTGTCCAGCCAATGTGATGACACCGGTATCCTCGGCTATAGAAAACACGTTCCCGATGTTACCGCTGATAATGCTATACCTCGGTATTCCGTGTTCCTGGCCACCCCAGTCAGAGTCAGTTGCTATCACTTGTTTAATGGTCGTAACGATCGCTGTACTCTCAATCCAAGATACCGTTAAAGATGAATCGGGTGTAAATACCGGTGAATGCTCGTTGACTGGATCGACGTGAATAACCACAGACGCCGTGGATTGCAAAGGCCCGGCCCCACCATCCGTAGCCGTTATGGTCAGTGTGTATTCGCGTATACTTTCGTAGTTCAAGGCATTATTTACTTGAATTTCCCTGTTTGAAGTCACGAGAAATTTATTCTCACCGTTGCCAGCAGTTATGGAATAACTAATATCTGCGTTGACTCCCACATCGGCATCAGTACATTGGAACACCAATACAGTGGTTCCGACATTTGCATCTTCGGATACACTAGCTTCATATATCGTAGTCTCAAACACTGGACCATTGTCATTGTAATCTGAAACCGTTATGGTGACATCAGAGTCATCGTACAGACCTCCACCGTCAGTCACTCTCAGTGTTAGAACATAGACATCTAAATACTCGCGATTTAGTTTTTTTCTCAACTCCATCATTCCAGAAACCGCTCCTACACTAAAAGTGCCATCGTTATCCCCTGCAGTAATAGAAAATATAACTTGTCCGTGTTCGTGATCAGTGCGATCATTGTCACTCGCTGCAACCTGTATAAACTCGTAACCGATATTTTGTACTTCATTGATGGTTACAGTGTAAGTACCGGGAAACACTGGGGCGAACTCATTCACTGCAACTATTCCAATAGACACCTGAACAAAAGTATGCAGTGGAGCTGTCCCGTTATCGGAAACTCTAATGGTCAAATCGTAAAAAGTATAACTTTCAAAGTCGGGTGCGGTATAGATATATATGAAGCCACTGTCTTGGTCAATGTAGAAGGTAGTGGCGACATTTCCGCTGTGTATGCTGTACTGAAGAACACTATTTGAATCAATATCCAGATCCACACACGTTATATTGTTTAAAACCAGACTATCCGCTGCGCTGTTCTCCTCCACCATTGCCGTATATACCGTAGGACTACATCCGGGAATATTGTCATTCACGTCATTGACATAGACAACCAGGTTTGCCGTGGATGTGCGAGAAGGTGACCCACCGTCCGTCACCAGTAATTTTAAGTCATATGCGTCAATAGTTTCTCTATCCAGTGGTTCAGTTGTAAACAAAACTCCTGATTCACTATCGATGTAAAATTTGTTTTCGTTATTACCACTTAGTATCTCATAAGTAAACTGACCTAAAATATAAGAAAAAATATTAAAATTGTGTGTTTGTTGTCACCCTTGTTGAATCACTTCAACTTCGATATAAATAGAATAGGAATTTTTATCTTGTTTACGGTACATTGTCTAAATCCGTAAACGTGGTCAAGGTATTTTTTTAAAGGCAGTTGGCCATGTATTCAACGTTTTTTTTTTTCATTTATTGCCAAACATTTGGAAAACGAAACGAAGTGATATTATTTTTCAATTCTGGAGTGACAGAAGTAAAACTATTACACACACATTACATACGGTTTTTATCAAGACATGGTTAATTGTATAGTTATGGTTGTTACTTACTCTCTTCTTTAATTCCAATGATTTCAAATCTCATACTTATTTGAATATAGTATCCCTTGGGATGGATTGTAACGTAACGAGCGTAAAAGTGATCATCTAACATATGAGCCACTGGTGTACTACGATCAACGTTGCCAACAAACATCTGATTAGAAGTGAAAAGTACAAGTATTAAGGTGGCGAGAAGGGTTTTGTGACGTTTTTAAATAAAACATTCTCTGTCTGTTGTCTCGTTCAGAACAGTAATTTAGGTTATATATATCAAAAGACTAAGTATAGAGGTACAAGTTCGCACAAACTGGGCAGTCATTGTTTACATAATTATCACGTGACATCAAAAATGGCGAACCTTGTAAAAATGACTAAGTACGCGATTGCGAGAGCACACTGCGGAATTTCCTGGTGAAATTTACGTCATGCATTGTCCGTAATCAAGCCCATTGAAATGCGTCTCCGATAATCAAAAGACCTATTATTCCGATTTCTATGCAGGTTTGTTTTTTTGTCCTTAAATTATTTCATACTTGGCACCTTTAACAGACTATTATTCTGTGACAAAGCATTTTCTTTAAAAACCCAGACATATTTCGCACCATCATTATCTTTTGAACGATAACTGCGAGTTTGAATGTCCTAGTCCGAACGCACTTGATTTGGCGGCGGTCCCAATCAGTCGTACTCGATCATAACTTCAACTCGAGAAAAACGAGTATCCTGTACAATATATATACGATATGTGGCTCACTGAAATGAACATGTTTATTTTCTCACCCTATCATTTCCAGTAGTGTCCTTATAATACGTCCAGGCATTGTCATCTTCACTGTACGACACATGGTACTGCGTCACCCATTGGTTGGAATCGTATCCACCCTGAGTAATAAATCCGGTTATTTCTCGTATGCGTCCAATATCTACTTCGATCCACTGGTTGTAGTCATTGAATTTCGCAGTCCAGGATGTGGTCATCCCATTCAAACGCGCATTCCACGGTACATATGACTCACTGTAGTATGACGAGGCCGTGATTTGGCTGTCCGTTATGTCGCCGTTTTCTAATCCCAATGGTTCACCCACATCTGAAAAAATCCAGTGTATATATGTATTTTTCAAGCAAGCGGCGTTCAATGAAATAATACAAGCATAATCAAACTATGCCGCCCGGGTTATACAGTCAAACTATATCGGTCATCCAAAGGATTTCTTGAGATTTTGCCACAGTGCACGCTGTAAACAAATCTACAATACATTTGAGTGTCCCCAATGTACAAAATCTCTGACATTTCGTCTATACAGCTATAAATAATATTTACCATCTTCCTTGTCTTGGTCAGTGACAGATACCTCGGCAACTAACGTCGAAGCTACAACGTTTTCGTCAACATAGAATGTGTACGTTGGTTGTGAAAATACAGGATCATATTCATTGACTCTCGTGACTTCAATAACAACAGTGACCACTGTAGAAAGGCTTGGCGTTCCTCCATCCCTCACTGGTATGCAAATATACATGTACTAAATGTTATTCTGGTCGGGGATTTTCACTATCGTACTTATCTTATTTACCACAATAAATTCAATCAATAATAATTGGACTTGACAGTATTACAATCTGTATCTATAGACTTAAGTCATATTTATTTATTTATTTATTTATTTATTTATTTATTTATTTATTTATTTATTTATTTATTTATTTATTTATTTATTTATTTATTAAATGTTCATACTGAGGTTACTCACCGATGACGTCAAGCTTATGTTTTGTCTTTGTCTCATAATCTAACGGATTGTGTAACGTGATGGTGCCATTTGTATCGATATAAAAATGCTCATCTGGATCAGACGTAGAGTCGATTTCGTGAAATAAGAAGGCGTTAATACCATCGTCGATGTCCCTATATCATAGAGCAACAACGAAGAAATGCAACGTGAAATCAAACCTGGGCGTTATCTGTCTTTTTGTGAGCATCAAGTGATATGCGGGTATGGAGCATGTTCAAATAATTAGTAAACAATACAGTGTGTTTTGTCGTAAGATTTTGTTTATTTTACAGCAAACATATCAGTATTCGTTGGATGAAATAATGAAAGACGCAAATGCGCATGAGCATGTGTTTGCGCGTGCGTAGTAGCTGATTGCATCTGTATATAAAGTCAATTCGATATGCACGCATACTAGCGGGATTTTCATCATTTCACCGAACGAATACTGCTATGTTTGCTACCGAAACAACATTTATTTTATGATAACCATGTATACTGTTCATCTCCAGATAAAATATCAAAAACCATTATTTCAACATGATCAAATTAATCACATTTTCACACGTACACAAATAAAATACACACGCGCATACTGAATATGTGCTATTTTTCGGAATGATTATTTCAACTTACGAGCAAGATAACTTAGCCACAAATGTATTCTCCAAGCTGTCCTCTGCCAGTGGCACTGTATGAAGATACTGTGTACATGACGGCGTGTTGTCGTTTACATCATTCACTGTGATAACTACAGTACCAGTACTAATGAGCTGACCTCCGTCAATACCGTGGTCCACTGCTAAAACTGTCAATCTGAAACCACAAAAAAGAGGTAATACATAGTATATGTTCGTCAATTGAATTTTGTTACGATTATGGTACCGTGTTCTTCTAGCAAATTGTTCAAGCATAGCGATTAACTTGTATAAACACTAAAGAAAATATTTGATTTTTGTGTCTTTCTGTTTAGTTCCTTTTTTTTAATCATATTTATGATGTTATGTGCTTATTTACCTGTATTCGGGAACAGATTCTCTGTCCAGTTCATCTCTTACTTTCACCCACCCTTCTGTATTATCGATGGAGAACTTTCCATCATCATTGCCATTTGCAATCATGTACGATATTTTCCCACCAGCTCCACTATCCTGATCAATAGCAGTGATTTGTACAATCGGTGTGCCGATGACGTCATCCTCGAACACTGCGCCATTATACCAAGCACCTTCACTAAGCTGCGGTGCATGTTCATTGTAGGTAGATATCTCAACAATTACAGTTGCTGTCGACGTCAGCGAAGGCGTGCCGCCATCCGTGACGTAAATTGCTAACTCAAACAAGTTTGTGCTTTCATAATCGAGAAAGTTGACATTTCGTGTGAATATTCGACCACTACTGTCCACTTCAAAGGGGTTTCCATTGACGGCACTTCCCGCAACTAACTCATATGACAAGAGAGCGTTGTATTCTTCATCAGCGTCACTGCAACTAATTTGTAGTACAAAGGAAGATGGCGAGGTGTTCTCTGATATTGATGTATGGTACGTCGAAGGGTTACATATAGGTTTATTGTCATTATAATCCGTTACAAATACTACCAACCCCACGGTTGTAGTCTGTTTGGTCACATGACCATTATCAACAGCTCGAATTGTCAAAGAATAAATAGAGAGGGTCTCGCGATCAAGTGCATTTCGGACAGTTATTTCACCGGTATACGCATCAATCGCAAAATCCGAATTGCTGGTAAAACTATAAAGGAGTTCTTCCATTTCTAAATCTTCGCCAATATCGTCATCATATGCGAACACCTGGAATACTGTACTGCCAATCACAGTATTTTCAGGCAGACTAAAACTGTATGAATCGTCGCTGAATACTGGCGCAAATTCATTATATGGTGTGATTGTTACAGCAACGTAAGATGAGGCAGACCTTTGAGTACTGCCGCCATCTTTCATCTCGATTACCAAAGAATATTTTTGCGTGTTCTCCCAGTCTAATTGTTTTAGGTTTGTTATTTCTCCCGTACTATCCACAGCGAATGTGTCATCAGTGTTTCCATCAACGATTGTGTATGACGTAATCTGTCCATTTTGTCCACTATCCATATCTGTAACTAGAATGTTTGTTATAATGGTATTTGTGGGGATGTTTTCACTGAACTCAACCATGTACCTTGCAGGACTGGGTACAGGATTATTGTCGTTGACGTCTAGTACGTTTATAACTACAGTGGCGACAGAACTGCGAGCATCGGCGGGATTATTCGGTTGGTCTGTGGCTGTAACTGATAGCGTGTACATACGACTGTTAATATCTTCATAGTCCAAATATCCCGCCAGAACAATCCACCCTGTATCGGCTTGCAGAGAAAAGACTGCATGATTGGCCATGGTGTATCTGACAACACCGTCATTACCATAGTCTATATCAGACGCCGATACCTGCAATAATAGTGCACCAGGTAAAGTGTCTTCATATGTATCGACCTCATAGGACGAACTTGAGAAAACAGGCGTGTGTTCATTGATGGGAGTAACTTCAATGTTCACCAACACAGTCACCGTTTGAGACGGGGATCCCTGATCGAATGCCAAAAGCTGTAGGAGATATGATGTCTTGGCGGTCTCCGAATCATAGTCTAACGCTTTCGACAATGTCACCCGACCAGAAAGCGAAGATATAACAAAAGTCGTGTCGTCATTTCCGGAAGAAAGCATCCCATAGGTAATCCGATTGTTGTTGTTCGTTGATGCATCTTGGCCATCAGAACAGGTTAGTGTGAAGAAGTTTGTAGATATAGAGGTATCTTCATCCAGAGATATGTCATAGTAGCTCCGGCTACAAACCGGAGAATTGTCATTAATATCGGTCACTGTAACAATAACATTACGAAACGCTTCGTTGGGCGTACCCGCACCGTCGATGACTCCGTCTGTCGCCTTCACTTGTAAAGTGTAAGACGAGGTTATCTCTCTGTCTAAATCACTGACTAGCATAATTGCGGCTGTTTGGGAGTCGATGATGAACTTATTACCTTCGTTGCCAGAGACGAAACTATACGATATTTGTCCATGTGCATTGATATTGGAATCGCCATCATTTGCCCAGGGTAGCTACGACACTACCTACAATAATACAAATTAAAAATAATAACTTGATTTTTCATCAGAACAGAAAACATAATCATCCACTCTGGCAAAAAAAAAATCAACATTCTGGAAGCTGTGAGTGTCATACCTTTCGGTGTATTTTCTGGAATAGATAAGGTTATATCGCTAGATGAACTAAACACAGGCGCGAATTCATTCACTGGTATGACGTTTATGGTGACTGGGATCACCGCAGTTAGGGGAACTGGTCCATTATCAGCAACTGTAACTTCAAGATAATGAATACTGTCACCTGAGAAACAAACATACGGATATTGCTTTTTTTATTCTATCGTTATTTGAGAATAGAAAATCCAACTAAAATAAAATCTGCACACCCTTTACTCCTTCGGACTTTCTGAATTTATTAAGCACTATAAATGTTAATGTGCGTCAATAAATAAGATACTACAAATACGCAGCTTTTATTGCTCTATTGTTTCCATTACCTTTGTAATTTTCTTTTTCTTTTTTTTTTCTCAAAAACTTTCTCTGTACAAATTCTTTTTTTTATATCATCGGTCAAACTCATAATTTTAAAATTACACCGCGCGTACGATATGTCATTGCAAAACATCAACACGCACAATATCGCTATTGTCATGGTTCTTATTTGGTGACCTTATTTG